GGTTGAAGGCCATGGCTAGTAGGTTGAAGGCCATGGCTAGTAGGTTGGAGGCATCGCTATTAGGTTGGAGGCCATCGCTATTAGGCTGGAGGCGTTGCTATTAGGTAATGTCCGACGCTAATGCTATTCGCTGGTCGCCTCCTGAGGCCATGATGGAACGGCGCTACTTCTTCTGGAGCTCGTATGGAGTCCTCCGATCCTGTGCCTCGCTTGGCAGCTTCGGGGTTTCTCTTTTCTTGGAAGTGCAAAGATGCATACAACCATGCAACAAGACATTCAGAAAAACACCTTACTTGCAACAGAGCTCGTCCAATCTGCCAGCAAGCAAACACTGACAAGATCTAGCAAGCCCAGAACACAAGGTCGAGACCACGTGGTCATACAAGATGAATAACTGTGGTGCTCTTGACCAATGAAGCGGGGGAAAAAACGGCGAGCTCGCAACAGGAGAGGGTCCCTCCGCCGGAAGCCCGCCACACGAAAGCGAGAGGGAAAAAAAAGGTGACGCAGGCACAACCTCGGGACTCGCACTCGGTACGGAGCCAGAGGAAGTGAAAGCATCAAGGAAGAACCGGAGCCGCTCGAAGGGCGAGCTGGTTGTCCTTATAGGCGCAAGCCAGGGCAAGGCCAGAGACAGTCCCACAAAATACAAAAAACAGGCTCTCACAGGAAGGCAAGCGTTCACGAAGTAACCAAGGCCATGGCTCGGACAAAGCGTTGAAGGAAGCAGAGTCGTCGGGGAGGCGGCGGACGACGGCTCTGGCATTTTCCCGTTGCAAGGTGATGCTCAAACCTTGCATCAATTGCTCAGTCATCTTGCTGGTGGAGTCACCGGTTCGAGCAGCGAGGAAGCTCCCCAATTGCCGGAAGACAGCCATGGCCGTGGGCCCAACCCCCACCGCATCCTTCGGCAACTATAGGCAAGAACTGTAAGCCTTGTGCCCGGCACTGGGCTTCGGTTCGTTGGTGCATGCGTTTACGCTCCTCGTAAACCAGCGCAGCATGACCGCCATTGCCAACAGTAGAAGGGAGCACTCCAGAGCGAAGTCCGCTGGAAACTGCAAAATCGAAGGCAGCCGGGCCATGGAGCCCCCAGCCTGGAACCCACACGTCGGCAGGTCGACGTGCGGAAGCCTGGTTCAACGACACTCCAGCTTCGCATAGGCCCGAATCTTCCGGCCGAGCAGGAAGCAAGCCAGGTTTCTCTAGCTCTGGGCTGAGGCCAGCGGCAGCCAACTTGGCGGCAAAGAAGTTCCGCAACCGGTTATGTCGTTTGCCTCGGTCTCCACCACATGGGCATACTCGAGCGTGGTCCCCAAAGCAATCCGCCACCCCATCGCAAAGAGGGCAAAAGCCGTCGGACGCTGCAATGGGAAGGCGCAATCTCAGTCGGAGGAGAACTCGGAACAAATGGGCGTTGATGTGAAGGCCGAGATTGTCAGCTGGTAGGGCAGTGAGCCACGCTCCGGCCCCGGGTTGTTGGACCAGTTGGAGGTGGCCTTTGGCTGCTTCGCCAGTGGTGGCAGCTATCAAGTGGGCCTGCTGCGCCTTGTCCACGGTGGCCGACAAGTCCCGTTGTTGGTAGGACGGGGCCAACGAGTGGATTTGGTCCTCAGGCAAAACAACTTGGTTGTATAAGGTCAAAGCCTGGTGGACGGGGGGAGGCACAACCCGATAGGTAGGGTCAAGCTCCGTGCACGAGGCAGCAAGATGGGTGATGGACGCAATGTAGGCCGCAGGGGCATGCAAGGCAGTGCTGCGAAGACCCAGCCCGCCAGCTTTGATAGCGAGACTGGCTTGTAGCCAGGTGTTCTGGGTCAAGGGCAGCCCCCCAATTTGTTCGAGGCAGGCCTGCTCATCAAAGGCTTGAAGCGCTGGGCCATGGCCGTGAGGTGAGACTGGCAATGCCGGAGGAGGAGCATCGCCGTCTGGGCATCTGGGAGATCGGCCAAGGCTTGGAGGCATGGCTTGGCGGCTCAACTCGCGTCGAAAATGTGTGGCGATTGCAATATGCCTCATCTCCAATGGCAGCCCCCAAGAAAGAAAAGTTGCCCGTGGTGTTGACCCCAATCCCGGTGGGTTAAAAGCTGGAGCATTGCGGGAGGAGCGTGATCGCCGAGGAAAGCCAGTTCACATTTCGATGGTTCCAGCTGGAGCCCGATGTTGCACGTGACATGTTGCAAAGCCTGGAGGCCTTGTGCGAGTTGGCTTGCATCCCAGCCATGACCACATCGTCCAAGTACGCGAAACACACGTCGCAGTGCCCACGGGCCGCAACCAAAGCCGGCTGAAGCGCCAGGGAAAACAGCAAAGGGCCGAGGGGATCGCCCTGTTGCACTCCGCAGGTTGAAGCGATGGTTTCGCCCGCATACAGAAGACGGGAATGGTGGGAATAGCACCAGTCCGTCCAACACGTCAAACCGGGGAGGTCCTGCCGCACAGCGCGAAGCATAGCCGCCCGGTCGACCAAGTTGAATGCGTTCCGAAAATCCAGTCGAAGGATAACTTTGTCAGGGTGGCCAACGTGGCGGTGTGCCCAATCTCGCATGACATGTACGCCACATTCAAGGCCACCAGGGCAGCCACGCCAATCTGTAAGGGCCAGAGTCCAGATCGAACATCAGTTTTCACTGCTTGGCGCAACAACTTCCCAACCAGCCTCCGAAGACTCTCCCCCACCGCGATCGGTCGGACCCCGCCGGAGGGTTTCGGCAAGGCGTGCAACGAGGCACCTGCCAGCTGCGGAGCGAGGGACGCAGGCGCCTCCCCCCCGAGCCAGGAGCTGGCAGACCGCAGTCAAATGCGCAACCACTTCATCCATGTGAGCTGTGTGAAAGCCCCCCGCAGGTGGTCAGGCCGAAGTTGGGAAGGCCCTGGGGCCGACCCACGCCGGAAGGATAGCGCTGCTTTGGCCACCTCGGCAGCTTCGAAGTCTGGGACAGCGGCCCGGCGCGGAGGGTCGAGGAGGTCCAGGTGCGGCTCAGAAGCGAAAGGATGTTTGGCCCGGAGCTCCTGCAGGATCTCAGCTGAAGTGGCCAACGGAGGGGCGTGCGTAAGAGCCCTGCAAGCTTTGGAAAGCTCTCCCTCGGCAGCCAGCCGGCAGCATCGGGCTTGGCGGGCTTCCTGCCCCCCGTTGCCACGAGAGGGTTTGGGTCGGGCCGTGTCTAGGTCGGACCAAAGCTCGAAGCGTTCTCCATCGAGCCACCGCTTGCATCGTCGCCGGACGGCCTGCGCAAGCTGCGCCTTGTGTTTAACCCCTCTTCGGCTAGGGGCCGCTAGTAAGGACTTAGGGAGCGTCAGCAATTCCTGCCAAGCGGCCTCCGTGTTGTGGGCCGCGACGTTGGCCAGTGCGCGGGCAAGGCATTGGGCCCAAGAGGCCCGAGCAGCATGTGGCACGTGGCGAAGGGTCGCCACTGGGGCCACCATGATGTCCGCCAAGGTAGGAAGCCCCGAGTGGAGTTGGGAGCCTAAAGGGCGGTGCGCAACAGCTCGTGCCTGTGGGCGGCATTGGGGGTGGGCCCCGTGGCGCCGCTTGGCCACGAGCAGGCCGCGCACGCTGCATTGGTCAAGGTTGTGGGCTGTAAGGTACGCCCCGGGAACGGCTCCAGACAATGCCCCAGAGGCATGGTCGTTGCGGGCCTTGCGGCCGATGGGGGGGGGTGACCGCGCCTTGCCGGTCGACGTCCGACGCCCCCGCGTGGGATGTGGGCCGCCAGGGCGTGGGTAGCCCAAAGCGAGGCGGAACACTAAGCCCATGGCAGAAAGGCGAGGGGGAGACCGCAGCTACCAAGGGGTACTAGAACACCAGCGGTCAGACTGACATGGGTCGGTCCCCCCCAGCAACTGCCGCCTCCCCCTGCCTGGGAGGCCGGTCGGCCTTGATGTGAAACGTGTTTCACGCAGATGTTGCGTGATAGCCTTCAGGGTAATGCAGCCTTGAGCCTCCACTTGAGCCAACAGAGCTTTTTACATCAGAACCAGAAGTATATAAATTCTTCAGATGTGTACATGTCAACCAAGGCTCTTGAAAATAGTTTCTTCCTAAGGTAAATCTTTTGGCACCCTGTGGAAAGCTCCGTAGAGGCAGCTGCCATGCTCCACATCAAGAATGTGCAGCAAAAAAGGCAGAACTCACAATTCGCAGCAAAAGTGTTTTCTGCGAGCGCGCTGTGTATGAAAGCCTTCGCTGTGTGAAGCTTTTCTGCACCGTGTAGATGTGGCAGGTATTTCGGAAAGCAGTGTTCGGCATCGCTTCACATGCTGTTGATTTGAAGAAGGGCCGGCCACCCAGCCATGATGTACCCACTGATGTTGTGAAATAGCACAAAAACTTGGGACACCTGCGATTGCAGGTCTTGACAAAAGCATACATTGTCCTTGTGAGAGATCTCGTTGATGCCACTCAAGTTGTCCGCAGCTTTAGGTAGCTCCATGTTGCCTGACCCTGTCTCAGACGAGGAGCGTGATCCTGGCCGACTGGACTGGACAAACAGTTCATTTTACCAGACTGTTCTGGCTGTTTGTGATTTTTGTCCTTTGCTGTTGCTTTGCTGAGTTGCCACAAAAGAAACTCGGCCAGAAACACAGTGGAATTGACTTCAGAACTGCAGCGTAAGAGGCTCCTGGTCCGGTAGCCTTTCACGATTGGGCCTGACCAGGCCCTTTTTCAGACTTTAGAATGAACCGACGAATGCCATGGCAATCCGACGAGCAAACGACATCGACGCAATCCGACGAAGGAGATTGGGATGGTTCTGTTGGTGTTGCGCCTCAGCCTTGAGAAACGCGCGATCATAACGTCGCATTGTGGTTGGCCATGCAGACGATAAGATCTATATCTATTTATGCACATATATATATACATATACACATAGGAATATAACTATATGAGCTTCATACTGTGTATAATATTTTATTTTATTGAATGTGATGGACACCGAATGATTTGAGTGGAAACTCTTGAGCACCTGGTGCTTTCTACAGAAAGGTGGAAGTTTGGCTGCCCTTTGTGGTGCTTCCCTTCCCCTTTCGGAGTATACTCACCTCACCTAGGTGTGCTCAGCCTCAAGTTCCATGGGTCCAAGGAGTTCATCACTCTGAGGAGTCTGCAGTTTCGCACCCGGCCGGGTGCGAATCGTCCCCGGTGCCTCTTGGAGCGCAGGCAGAAGAGCCTTGGAAGCCTGCCATCAGAGCCTTGGCAAACTTGGAACACAGATTGTGACATTTGGAAGATGTTATCAATGGAGGGTGTTCTGCTATGAGAGATGGAACACATGGTGCCAGGTCAGCGTGCAGATTGTCACTTACAATCGCACATGCCTTGTGCTTGAAGCCCTGCAACAAATTGAAGCTCAAGACTATGCCGGTGAAATTGAGGCGCAGGTTAGAAATCAATTGTAATGTAGGATAAGGATTGAAACCCTTTGAGGCAAACCTGTTTTCTCACAGGGTCTCAAAGATCGTGCTGAAGGTGCTTGTTCTGGATGATAGTCCTCACAGCAGCCTGCGAGCAGTTGAGGGCTTCGCAAATACATCTCGCCACCGCGTCGTCTACCGTTCCTTGACATGTTGCTCAGTACCCGTTCTGTTTTTTTGGAGTGTTGGATTTGTGAGTCAATTTTTTCCAATTCAACAGAAGCCGATGTAAGCTGTGTTCTTCAAGCTCAGCACTCCTTGAGATTTTCTGGAGAAGCGGCTCACTATTGGTGCGAAGAGAAACCTTGCAGTGAGTCTGAGTTTGGCAGATTTAGTTTGCACCTGGGACGACGATGACATCTACACTGAAGACCGGGTGCGGCTCCAGGTAGAGTTTTTGCTGGAGCATCCTCGCTGCAAATGTGCCTCACGTCTGAGCTTTGTGTTTTCTGACTTCAGAAGTCAGCTCAAGGGCTTGTTTGTGTTTACAGCAGCACTATATATCCAACTCTTAGGTTGGAGGCCATCGCTATTAGGTTGGAGGCCATCGCTATTAGGCAATATACGACGTATTCGCTGGTCGCCTCCTGAGGCCATGATGGAACGACGCTACTTCTTCTGGAGCTCGTATGGAGTCCTCCGATCGTGTGCCTCACTTGGCAGCTTCGGGGTTGCTCCTTTCTTGGAAGTGCAAAGAAGCGTTTTAGATGCATACAAAGTGCTGCTGTTTGTAGCGAGGGGTAGTATAGTCCAAGATCCAAGGTGGGTAGAATGAGGAGTGAAGCGATGTAAAGAGCCCGTGCTCCACTTCTAGCAAGGCCGCGACGAGCTTCAGTTATTCCCATTGGAAAACACCCTATGCTTTTGGCGAAGCTGGTTCCAGGCGAGGTGGGGGTCTTCAAGGCATAGCTTCTTGTTACTAGTAGCGTTCTTGTTCCTAGTAGTACGGCCAGGAGGCCCTAGTAGCGTCCGAACGCTCCTAGTAGCGATGCCAGGAGCCCCTAGTAGCTTCTTGTTAATATCATAGATGATTTAGTACTTGCTGAAACGTGTCCATCCTTTCTGGATTTTTTTCTGCGTGTTTGGTTCGTTTGAAGCATGACTGATTGTTGAGGCTCGCAGCTTCGATGCAGGGAACCTCAATGAAGGCCTTGGATTGCTGCGTGGAGCTCAAGGAGTGAAGCATCCTGGAAGGCCTGAAGCATCCACGAGCGATGCTTCTTGTTTTCTTGTTACTAGTAGTAATGGCCTCCAACCTACTTGAGATGGCCTCCACCTAATACCGTCCTTGCTACTAGAAAGAATGTTTTAAAGGTGAAATCAGCAAAGGATTCTCTTAAATCATTTTACATCCATGAATCAAAGCGGTCTTTCGTTTCTATTTGTAGAACAGTTTTGTTGCAGCTTTCCGGACTGCTTTATGTGAAACTTGCATATTTCTAAGCACGACTTTATGTGCGATTGTCTCACCGGTTTGAACTGCAGGCTGGGAATCCTTTCAATTCCGGCAGAGGACCTGCCATTTGTGTGCCTCTGGTTGCAAGGGCTATTGCCTGCAGCCACAAGGGACAACCTCTGTGTTCTCTCTCACATGGCTTTGCGCAAGACTACCTTTATTTGACAAACCTTGCCACTTGAAGATTAGTTCTCCCTCAATGTTCTTGAGGTATGTAAAGCACGAGGGGTCAATGACTGGAAGCCAAATCCTTCCTCAACCAGCAGAAGATCCTGTCAATGTTCGCCAACAAGGTGTTGTTAGTTTCTACCTATATATATATATACTTGAATATGCAACGGACATGAACACTCATATGACTCATGGGTCATGGGATGTCTTTTTTGCGTCTTGTTCTTGGTTTCTCTGTATGCGAAGGAGTGGGGCTCGGTGGATGGCCTCTTCTGCCATTGGCGCGTGCTTTTTTGATGGACAGATTTCCGGCATTGCCCGCTTCCAGTTGGTGCGCGAAGGGTCTGGGAACAGTGCGCAAGCTCCTTTGCTGCTTGGCTTGGCACCTGTCTGCTCAAGTTTTTCTTGTGCCCACCAGCCCATCATCCTTTTGCCTCAATAGCATGAGGAACCGAACCAATCTTGAGATTAGTACGCACACAGAATATGCAAGCTCCTGTAATACTTGACAGGTTTCGAGTCTTCATTTGGGGGCTCTTTCGATGCAATGCACCAATGCACCTATTGTTTCAGTCTTAGGTGAGGAAATCAAGCAGGACATTAAGCAACTGCGAGCTTTATCTGATAGAGCACAGGCAGCTCAGATATGATTTGGCCGTGCAAAGCATATGACGAGTGTTCCTGTCCAGCCAAGGTAGCTTCATACATTCGCCAGCTTGGAATGGAGAGTGCACCAAGATTCACTACAGAAGGACGCAAGGGCTACTCGTTGTTGCTCGTGTTTGGCCCCAGGCATTCTGTTCTGTGCAAGCGCAGGACTGCTTGGATGGATTGATGCCATGCAGCAAAAGCTGAGAATGGGATTTGTGGACGAAAAAGAGAGACTGAATTCTGCTTGGAGTTGTGCGTCTGCGATGGCTCAGATTGCAAAGGAATGGATGGGACAGCCCCTTTGTGTGTGCGCATAGGACAGCACACGATGTAGTTACTTTGTCCCTCTGGGACACAAGTTGCGAGTGCAAGTACCCGCCGCGACTGCAGTATGTTTTGCTCAATCCGTTGAACTGGTATGTCAGGGGGTAGAAGTCTTTGGCGCTCATTTGCTGAAGAAAGGCTTCTGTGGGTCGCAGGTGTTGAGCTTAGAATCCAATGATTGTGTGTGCAGCCTTAAGGCTCATTCTTTGAGCACGAACACAACGAAAGCAAGAGAATGTAAAAGACTTATTACCTCTTGTTGCTATGCTCGCGTGAACTATTGGACTCGACTAACCCTCACTTCTGTCAACAACGCTTTTTTGGTTCATCCGTTTTCAAACAAAACCATTTCACGACGCTATTAGGTGGAGGCCATCGCAAGTAGGTGGGAGGCCATCGCTACGAGCAACAAGAAGCTACTAGGAGGAAGGACTCTCATTCTTGTTTGGCTGCATCCAACGGTCCGCGGTGCTTGACTCCAGTGCCGCCACTCGACGTTTTGCAAGGTGGGGATGGCCTGGAAGCCAATGCTCTAGTTGTGGCCGGCGAACGTCGGATCTCTTGCTCCCAGGTGCCACCCTGATTTTCCAAGAAGCCGTACAGTGGTTGGGAATGGGCTTATGTATACAAATTAATAATATAATCCTTTTGTATTTTTTGTATATTGCACGGATATTATCACTTGAAGGGAGCCTATGCAAGCACGAGGGTGATTGCAAACAAGGATATGCCCCCAATCAGTGGACTGCAATCTGATCAGGATGGAATCAGTCGAACCATTCCAAGCTACGTTACCTGAGTTGAAAAGCTCAATTCTGGTCAGCAGGGCCACCGAGATACATTGTCGTGCACAGTTGAGGGCATTTTCACTGTTGCCCGCCAGGTGCTATGCTTGGAGCAGCTGGACATATCGGTGCGGCTGGGCGCTGAAGTCTCACAAATGGTTTTCTTCTGGGTGTTTTGCAAATTGCCAGTGGGACCGAAGGTTTCGCGGCTTATAGGCTGATAGTAAGGAAATGTAAGGCTGATAGTAAGAAGTACCATGATTTTTATAGGTTGGAGGCCATCACTACTAGGGTGGGGCCATTGCTTCTAGATTGGAGGCCATTGCTTCTAGGTTGGAAGCTACTTTGGAGGCTTTTCACAAGGGACATGTATGGCTGCTAGTAAGTTCACGACCTGAAGCCTTTCGAAAGGAGTTGCGATTCCAAGACCAGAGGCCCGAAGGCTTCATTGGGTGTGGCAGGCAAACCTGAAGCTTCAGCTGCCCTTTTTTGCCAACGAGCTGCTGGGAGCTGTTCATTTACATGGACCGCTTGGTCTGGCAACTTGGCAAAAGATGCCAAAAGGGGAATCCGCTTACATCACAGTAGATGCTCTCTTCCTGACACTGTATTTGGGGCGGGGGATGTGGAAAGACATGTACAAGACCAAACTAGCAACTTGAGCACAGCTTTGCGTGTTTTTGCATTCTTTATATATATACATACACAGTATAGTTATATATATATACATTACTGTGTATGTTTGCATAATCACTCGCCGGCCCGCAGCTTCCAATCAAAGTGTATGCCCGGGCGGTTAGCACTAGGCGCTGCCGGAGGATCACTCACGACTCTTGCTGTTTCGCTGCTGCAACAGTTGAGCTCTCCCGAGGACCTACTTTTGCAACCTTTGTCCTGCGATTGCTCTGGGGTTGAGATTGTTGGTGAGATTTGGTTCTGGACATTTCTGTTCGGGTTGATTTGTGGGCTAGCAATCTGGCCTGTTTTGGACATTCTCATTTTGGTTCGACTCCGCTGGACCCGTTGGATTGCACTCTCTTTGGCCGCGTATCGCAGCCCTCGTCCTTTGCATCGTGTCTTGCATGATTGAGGGACTGCAAGAGACCATTCGGAGTGCCTTGGCCGAGTTGAAAGAAGCCCGAAGTGAGATCAAGTCCCTCACCTCGAGAGTTCGTGCCTTGGAGATCCAGCTAGAAGGGTTCACTGAGGTTAGCAGCTTGCAGGAAGAACTTAGGGAGGAGACAGCTAAGGTTCTGCCCGTTTCTCGCGGGTATCCAGAGTCCGGCTTAGGATCCAATAGTGCCTCGGCTGGATCAGGGGGAATTGAGATTGCTGCGGAAGGCGGCCAGACTTGGGAGGAGCGTGAGCGCATCTGCAAGGACATCGGGTATTTCTTGCGGAGGTCCCTTGGTGAGGATTATAGAGGATATTCTGGAAGGCAGAAAATCAAGCAGGCTAGTCGCTTTTACGTGATCGTTCGCGACTTTGCTGGTGTTCTCTACGATCCCCCGAAGGTGGTCAGCAGGTTCAGTGAAGTGAAGAGTCTGTGCATCCCTCACGGAGAAGCAGGCACATCGATCTTTGTCGGGTTGCCCTCAAAGCGAGAAGTCCTTTGCACCTTGAAGGCAGGACATTTCGTGATCCCTGAGGTCATCCCTGATGCCTGAGGTGTTAGACGAAGAGATTGCTGCCGTCCCTGAGCATTCTGAGGCGGCAGAGGCAGTGCCGCTCGTCTTCTCTGACGGGCATACGAATCTACACTACGAAGTCGGCAGGCTTGGTCTTGTCGACGGTTTCTCCTTCAGCTCGGTGATAGCCATCGCTGTGCAGGGGGGGCAACTTCTTGTCGCTGTCCCATTTGAAAGCTGGGCCCGCAAAGTGGCTGATCGAGCCCTTCCTCCGAAGGCACTCAGCAAGCCGCTGCTATGTTCCGTTTTTGCATGCCATCCAGAGGCCAGAGAAGAGCCGCTGGAAGAAGAATTCAGTCAGAGGATTTGGGTTGGTTTTCTCAACAAAGAATTGGAGCCCAGCCTGGAGTTTTCTTTTCCCGCCGAGTTCGAGGCGGACTACCCTTTTGTTTCAGATTCAGGAGAGGCTTTTATCCCTTATGCCGAGAGCTTGGTCGAGGTTTCGGCCGAGCGATATCAGTTCGTCACTGCAGAGAGTGGGGGCGGTGGCGCCGCTTCAGCCAGCAGAGGAGAAAGAGCCGCTGGGGGAGGAGATGCGGGCCGGATTGCGAGGCTGGAAGATGGTATGGCCGAGTTGCAGAAGTCCCTCTCCTCCCTCACTTCCGTGATGAGGAGAAGTTTGAAAGAAATGAAAGACCGTGCTCCTTCAACTCCTGCCCGGGCTCCGGCCCTTCGGACTCCCGAGCGTGTGAGAAGAGTAAATTTTCGAGGCCTCGATGGAGCGGTAGTCGATGCTGCTCTTGGGGCCAGCGTTCCAGAGGCGCATTTGCAAGAGATGGCCGACATCCTCAGCAAGAGTCCTGGCAAGATGGAAGACCTTCCTCGGCGCCCCGCCAAGAACACCGAGGGCGCCCTTTCAGAGACGGAGGAGGAAGAACCGGAGGAGGTGGAAGAGGAATTAGAAGGTGGTTCTCGTCCCGGTTCGTCCTCGGACACTTCAGTAGCAAAAGCGATTGTGAAGTTGACCAAGGTGTGCAGCCATCTAGCTCAGAGCAAGCGGAGGAGGGACCCCCTGGAGCAATTGCTGGACATTGGAGGAGGATCTCTGGAAGGCGAAGGGTCTGGATCTGTCGCCTCGAAGAAGGGAGCCGCTCTTCGGCTCTTGAAGAAGAGACTGGTGGAGAATCCCAGCATGATTTACAAGAGCATCGAAAGCAACATGCTTATGGACTATGGTTCCCAGCCTGTGAAGCCCGGAGAGGGTTCGGGCCACATCACGGCTCGTGGATGGCTAGAGCATCGGTCACGCATCCAGAGTTTTGCTTCTCATGTCAGATGGAGCTGGACCATGGCTGGTGTCTGGGACGCCCTGATTCGGGGCGATGTCGACCAGGCTCGGGCGCGGTGCGCTTTGGCCGTTGCAGCTGCAGACCAGTCAGCAATCGACGGAGGAAGCTGGATTCTGGCTCAAACTATGCTGTTGGAGACGCCGCCTCCCCTGCAGTCCTTTTCCTCTCACACTTCACCTGGGCCCCAAGAAAGTCAGCACACTTCGCTGCTGGAGTCATCGTGGGTAGAGATCTTCTTACACCACGTGAAAGAACAAGACTCCTATCTCGAAGCGAAGAGGAGGCTGAGTGGAAAAGGGGGGCGGCGAGAGGAGAGCGAGAAGGACAGGAGCGACGACAAAGGAGGCAAGAGAGAGAAAGGGGGAAAGCCGAAGGGAACCCCAAAAGGTGGAGCGAAGGCCAAGAGTCAGCCCCACCCAGAAGGAGAGACAGAAAGTTGATTTCTTTTCCTCAGAGGCCACTTCCTGCTCCGGCCTCTCGAGTTCAGAGTTTGCATGCTAGGGAGCGGGAGAGCTTTTCTCGAATTCATGTTCCTGGCACTCGAGCTAGCAAGTATTTGGGACGAAGTTTCTTTAATGCTGGACTCCGTCGACTCCTTGATGGACGATGCAGGCTATCTCATTTTGCCAGATCCTCTATCAGCCTCAAACGAAGGCTGGATGCAGCCAGGACAGAGATCAGTGGAGGTGGTTTTCCTATGCCTATTCCTTTCCCGGAGGCACTCTGGAAGAAGAGAAATGTAGAAACTGCTGGCGAGACCGAATTCAGTTTTTTCAAGAAGAAGGCAGTGAATCTGGTTGTTGTTATTTTGAATTACCTCAGCCTGAATCGCGCCAGCCGCTGTCCGCCTCATCTTGTGGCAGGGGCTCCTTTGTCTCGACTGCAGTGGAACATGGTGAAGCGCCTTGGTGATCTCTTGGACGGATGGATATGTTCAGGGGAGGTTGGTCCAAGAAACATGGGGCGAGCCGCTCCGAAGATAGAGAGCTTGGAAGACGCTATAGCAGCTCTTGAACTCCAAGCCGAAAGCCTTCGAACCGAGTCTGAAGACACCTATAGTAGGTTCTGTGATGAGCCCACCTCTGGAAATGGAAGATGTGCCGATGTGGGGCGCGTGGTTGGGACTTCCAGCCATGCTCCGTACAGCGCCTTCAAATCTCTGGAGCCTGACCGGCTACAGTTTGTCGGTTTCCCGCTTTTTGACCCTCTGCCCTATTTGGACGAAGAGTCCGCGGCCGTGTATGCGGAACCTCTGAGGATGAGAAGAGATCCTAGCGAGTGGAAGTTTGCCATCCCCAGAGTCCGGATGCACTGCAAACCGGGCGACAAGATCAGACTCTTTGAGCTTCTGGACAAAAGTGAGCGCCTGTCGTTATTCCCTGCGAGAGAAGTTGATGGCCGATTCGCATCCGGCATGTTTGCAGTGGTGAAATCTGAGGAGCGGGACAGACTTATAATGGACTCCCGACCTGCGAATGTCTTGGAGCGGCCCTTGAAACGCTGGATTCGATCTCTCGGAAGCTGCGAGGCCCTGGGACGACTCTTCCTGCCGCCCGGGACCGAGCTGCGAGCGTTTGGGTCCGACCTGAGAGATTTTTACCACTTGTTTCAAGTCGGAGAGGAACGTGCAAGAAGGAACATTTTGTGTGGTGCCGTTTCCCCCAAAGATGTTTGTCACCTAAAGTGTTTTCGAGAAGAGTTTTTCGCCGAAAGAGATCTTTTTGGAGCTCTATGCACCCTGGCGATGGGGGACGCCCAGGCCGTGTCCTTAGCCCAAACCTGTCACCTCAGCCTGGCGCTCTGTTGCGGGGCCGCCAGTCCCTCGAACCTGCTGACTTTGTCGGGGCCGGTCCCGAGGGAGAGAGAGATGGTTGGGATCATTATTGACGACTTCATCTCCTTAAGCATTCATGAGGTTGGTGCTCCTTTGCCGACCCCGGCCCGTTCGTTGAGAGATCGAATGGAGAGAAAGTATAAAGAGGTTAAGCTGATTTCGCACCCTGACACGAGTTTTTCCGATGAGGTGACCTGCAGCTTTTGGGGTTGCGATCTGGACGGGAAACAAGGGCTGATTCGAGGAACGCTGAAACGGGCTATCCCTCTTGCAAGTCTGGTTTTGGACATAGTTCGCCTGGGTTATTCATCGGTTGACCTTCTGCAGACAATTGGTGGCAGTCTTCTTTCCTTTTACCTGTTTAGGAGGAGGATGCTTTGTTTGATGGACTTGATCTTTCAAGCAACTGTTGGGCGGGAGAAGAATGAGGTGCTGGAAATGAGCGGTGGGTTGAAGAGCGAGCTTTTTTGTTTGGCCTTCCTCCTCCCGTTAGCCTGCACTGATTTGAGAGCCCTGCCCCGTGGACGAGTTTTCGCCTCAGATGCCTCAAACTGGGGAGAAGCTTCGGTGGTTGCGGATCTGCCAGGAGCTATTAGCGAGGAGCTAGTGCGGCACAGCCTTCGTAAAGGCACCTGGAGTCGGCTTCTTCCTGCCGGCTTGGCCTGGGAGCGCTCTCATGGTCTCCTAGAAGTTGATCAAGAGTTGCCCTCTAATGAAATTTGCTATACCATGAATCCCCTTTGGGAAACTTTGGCCAAGTGTTTGAGCTTTCGTATTTTCCACAAGAGAAGGAGCAAGACAGTTAGGCACATCAATGTTGGTGAACTTCGTTCCTTTCTAGCTGCAGAGAAGAAAGCGGGAATCGACTCGCCTGGCAGTCGGGACCTGTTCGGCCTTGACAGCCAGGTATGCCTCGGAGCTTTGCTGAAGGGAAGATCTGCCTCTCCTGCCTTGAACCAGGAGATGGAGCGGAATCTGAGCGACGTGCTGGGCTTAGGTTTGTACTCTGAGTTCATGTACTTCAGCTCAAAGAGCAATCCGAGCGATGATCCTACAAGGGGAGTCCCTCTTCGCAAAGCATGTTGGAACTTCCCAAGTTGGTGGGAGCCCCTTTCACGCCGAGAGTTCGAGGGTTTTGACGCTTGGCTTCGTAAAGAAGGGTTGGATAGTCACACCCTGTCTGAGCTGCCGGAATTTGATGAGCTTTTGGGCTCCATCGCACAGGGAGAGCCCGATGGTGGCAATAGTGCCGCCTCATGTTGCCTTGGTGATGGTGCCTTGGCTTCAGGTCACCCCCCTACGTCTTTCCAGTTTTCAGAAGGTGGATTTTTTGAGAGGGTCCAGGAGACGATCGAGCAGGAGAGCGATAAACTTTGCGAAAGGTCCCGCGCCTGCTTCTTTGGAAAGTTTGGCCCCCTTGGAGCCAGAGAGAGTTCTGAGGTGTTCAAGATGCTCGAGGAATGGACGAGCTCGGGACAACTGAAGAGGAGCGATCTAGGTGATGAGAATGAGCTGATAGACAGACCTGGCTATTTGGATCTTTTCTCTGGCATCAAAGGAGTTGCCAAATGGATGCAGAAGCTGACACCCTTATGGACCGTCACTTTCGAGCTAGAGGACGGTCCAAATCAGAATCTTGATGACGAACGACTTCGCAGCCTTCTGAGCAAATTCGTAGCCTGGGGAGTTTTCGAATGTTGGGGTGCAGCACCGGTATGTTCCTCTTTTTCTCAGGCCGTTTGGCCTCGTGTTCGCAGCTTGGCATCGCCCTGGGGATTTGAGGAAGGTGTGAGCCCCTCGATGCAAGAGAAGATCTCCAGAGGCAACTCGTGCGCACTTTGGTTGGTTAGTCTAGCCGAATTGAGTTTAGATCTAGATGTCCTTTTTTGGATTGAAAACCCTGACACAAGCTACCTCTTCAAGCTGCCACCTTGGGTTACCCTAGTGGAAGCCCATGAGAGCCTTGGCAGCTGGAGAGTCGACTACTGCCGTTTCAAGGCAAAGTGGAGAAAGAGGACGAGGTTTCTTAGCAACTCGGCCCTTCGAGGACACGACACTTTCTGCCTGGGAGGACATTCACATATTGTTCTTAGGGGCAGAAGCTCTTTCCACAGGAAATCCTGGACCTCTGTTGCCCAAGCTTACCCAGATCTTGTTTCGAAAACAGTTTGTGCCGGCCTTGCATACAGTTGCGGGTTTCTCAAGACTCGCGGTGGTTTTGATCCCAGCTGCTTCGCCTTCACTGGCACCCGGAGGGTGGGAGAAGCGCAGAAGCCGGGACCGCCTACACGGGCGGATCGGAGCCTTGGTTTAGAGAGCGCGCAGCTGACTGAAGCCCGGACCCAAGCTTTGCAGAGTAAGATCTGGCGGTGGTTCAGAGACTGGTGTTTAGAGCGCATCTCGGCAGAAGCTTTTTCCTCAGCAGTGCGGAGCCCCGCACTTCTTTGCACCTTGGTTAAAGAGTTCGGACATTTCTTATTTAGAGAAGGAAAGAGCCTTTATATTTTGCGGCACCTAGTGGTCATAGTCCAGAAGCAGATCATTGGTGCCCGACCGTATATCCACATCTGCTGGGATGTCGTGCAGCGTTGGGAGGAGGTTGAGCCTCCAACACACAGAGTTCCGATCCCCGGCAGCGTAGTTCGAGCCATGGCCAGCATCGCTATTCATTGGCGATGGTGGAGATTTGCCGGTTGCATCTTAGGAGCTTTCTATGGGATTATGCGTCCAGGTGAAATCCTGCGGGCCTATCGGAGCGATCTTATTTTGCCTGCTGACTTGTTGAACGACCCTTCAGGGCCTGCCTTCATTCGAATCCGCCAGCCTAAGAGTCGGAGAAGAGGGGGCGGTCGTGTCCAGCATGCAAGCATACATGATGTTGCCATTGTAGGTCTGTTGGATGCACTCTTTGGAAGCCCCCGTCAAGATGAAGCATTGTATCCTATCAGCCCTGGTAGTTTTAGGAGAAGATGGGACAAGATTGTCGAGCACCTTGGAATCCCCCTTGCCCTTAAAGTCACACCTGGTGGGCTCAGAGCAGGAGGTGCGGTGCATGAGTACAGAGCTGGCTGCGACATTCCACGCCTCATGTGGCGTATGAGAGTCCGCCACCAACATACTCTTGAGAGTTATGTTCAAGAGGTGGCCGCAGACAGTTTCACGGCCAAGCTGAATCCAAATTGTCTCCGCAGGATCACCTTGATGAGTCGGCTTTTTGATTTTCTTCTGGAAGTTGTCGCTGCACGAAGGTCCGACAGACGGCTAGTGCCGCCCGGAGCACTTTGAGGCTTTGCGCGGTTGTCCTTCGCCCACCGGCCTAGCTCCATGTCTGGAAGAGAGGAGG